TCAACCGGATGACATGTGGTGGATCTTAGGTGTGATGATAGATGGCCACAGGATTCAAACCAGACCTGATTTCTAAAAGCTAAGCTGTGAGATGCACAGGCTATCAAGATCATCGTTTCATTGAAATCACCATGCATATTGCCCAGATGTCATGTGAATGATGGTCCATTTACCGTCAGACCAGTTGCCCAACCAGGTCTTCCCCGTTAATCTTTATAATACTGAGTTAGAAAGAAAGGAAAAGTTTGTTAACTTATGCTTAAAACTATCTAAGATCTTCTTAGGTTGAACAAACTGTTATTGATATAATGGGTGACGGTTTTATGCGTCAGCTATTTCACTAAATTGTAGCCATTAGAGACGATTAGAAAAAGAGAACTGTTTTATCATACGATATCAAAGTTTTCATACAAATTTTCCCCTTTCGTAAACTATAACAAAACAAAAACAATAAATTTAGAAGGATAATAAATATGATATAATTTTATTTTGTCGGCTGTTGTCAACTGCACACATAAGTTTATATGTACGTGCTAAAGCACACTGTCTGAAAACAGCATGTTGTCACGTCAGCTTACTAAAGCAAGGTGAGGGTTTGTGTCTTTGAAATTTCACCTGTAAGGTGTTTGAATAGAAGTGATTTTTGATAAAATTGTGTAATATTTTGTCGAGAATGTTGGAAACTGAATTGCACAGATGGTATTTTGACTTGATCTGACTGTAGTAAATTTTTTAGATCTTGGTTGTAATCACTTTTATTCCAACTAAACTGTGTTGAAGTGTTACTACCACAAGAAGAAAGGAATACTTGGAGAGTGAAATTTTCCACTAAGATAGTCTACCTTCTATAAAAGCTTATCTTATCTTTGACACAGAATAATTTTATGAAGACTTCAGTGATTTCATTGATTACTAAGATTTTCCGCGGTTAGTTATAGGTAAGCTCTGATCACTTTCAGTCGCCAAAACACCTTATACAAAAGGAAATAAAAGATTTGTTTGGATAAAATTTAAGTTTACTATGTATTACTGAAACAGTGTCCGTTAAACTGTTGACATGCGCATGTTCAAATGACTGTGAGAAAATTATTTCATATTCTTAATTTTTGTTTTCATTCACACTCTTTACCTGACAGTTCTTCAACTTCCAGTCAGCTAAATCATTCAACACATTATGTGTAGGTGGTTCAAAGGTCAGGTATTCTCCAGCCATGCTGTTGGTTCGGGTTCGATTCCCGGCCAGTGCACTCCTGAACACCGCCTAGTTTATTGGCCAATAGCTAGTCGGGTAAAAGTTGAGCGTGAGGTCAACAATCACACCCCAAGAAAACACCACCACTGAGAATTAAACTTCAAAACCCTTGAATCCTTATGTTCCACTAGGAATGTAGGAAAATGATAAGACATGTGTAAACTTGTTCTATCAGCTTTACACGTCTTATCAATTTCCAACCTCCTTTCTTAAATTTGGAATATTCTTGGAATTATTCCTGTATATACTAACCAGCTTAATAACTCCTCTAATCCTTCTCATTCTGTGATTCAACTACGTAGTAATAATGGCCTTCGTAATATTTCTCTGTAACTGAAGCATGGAAATATTCTGTATATCCAATATATTATTATTCCTTTGGGTTCCATTTGGAATGTATGATTTCAGTAGCACATCTCCATTTCACTCTGTTCTCCACAGTCAATTTTAACTGCTTAGGTAGCTGACCATAAGTCCCTATTTCCATATTATACGATTACCTCCATGTTATCTTCATTTTATCAATAATAATAATAATAAAGATTTATTTCAGACAATATGCGGACATATATTACAGAGATTTTCAGCCTATATAGTTCCCAAATATTTCCTCTTCAAACAGAATTTACATGTAAAGCAATAATCTAAAGTACACCATTTGTCTTAGTGTTGTTGCATATGAAGAGAAAACCAATTCTGTACATTTTTGTTCAGTTCCTTCAAGAATCGCATAGCATTTAGTGGGAAACTAATTAAATATGCGCTCAAGTTCATGTAATGGTCATCTGATACAATTGAACGATTAAAATAAGAAGTACAGAAGAGTTTAAGCATTTTGATAGATGGAAATTCTGGTAGTCTAGTGATTTAAGCAGGCCGCCTTACTCGTCTTTTCCCATTCGTTTCCCACTAGAGAGTATGGCGCATGATGTTGGTCAAGGTCACCCCAGCGTGAGTCTCATTCATCTCTATTACCTTCTGCAGACTGATATATAGTGTATTAAAAGTAAGTACATATCAGTATATTTAACTGATTCCCCTTCTTTTAACGACGAATTAGATGTACAGCTTTTCTGCCTTCTATAAAACAAGCAAGTAATATGACGAACATATGAGTAGAATTTTTTCTTGCTAATCTATCATCCAATATTGACATTTTACAACTCACAAGAATAATCACAGAAATCAATAGGCGTGTGAGCGACACCAAACAATCAATCTAAGCTGATTTCAAATTAAATCAGGAACGGGACCAGTTGTTTAACCACTGAAAAATACTAGGGAGTACTGGGAAACGGCTTCGTCCTACGTTTGCACTCTTCAGCAGAATACACTCCTGCCTCGAACCTCTAGAGATCGCACCCAGTAAAACCTAGCTTATTGATCATTCAACCACTGAGACAGGGATCAATGGTCAATGAATTCTAATTTCTGCTGCTTTGTGATATATAGTACTGACTCCAACCACTGTCATCGGCAAGTTTTTCTCCTTGGTGGACCCCACTAACCACCACTGGTCACTTGGAAGCCAGGCGACTTCATGATGCAGTTGTTCAGTAGTGGCCAGTAGATCAGTTTCCAAGTGTTGGTTCTTAGCTGTCAAGATTTTCAATGAAGTTCCTCCATGCTAGCACTTGAAAACTATATAATATTTTATTCAACATGGTTCATGTATCTATAGGCTGAGGTCACTAGTATTTAATTTTAATTGAGTAACCTTTACCCTAATACAGTGGCGACTTTAGATCACTGAGTTGTCTAAATTCCCATCTACCATAATGTATAAACTTCTTAAATTTCTTGTTGTTTTAATTATCCAGTTATATCTTTGGTTTGTAACATATACTCACGCACATTCTTTGATCAATTATCAGTCGACTGCTGCATAGTACTGAAGAGAATTGGAGGAGAAATATCGTAGAGTACTGAATCATGCTTTAGAATAAACAGTTTTGACTGTCGATTGCTATTTCACTAGAAGGTGTTATATGAAGAGTAAATATCAGAGAGTAAAATAACCTGAGAATTCAATAATGTGTGTAAAAACATTTTGTTCAGGGAAAAATTGTTATTATAATCCTAATGTGAACATTTACTTACAACAACAATCAATGATAAAAAACAAGTAGGGGACACATATTCATATTAGGTAATGAATCTCATATTCAATAAAACATTAGTAGCTTAAGAGGATGATTTTGGTGTAGTTGTATTGTCTGACCTGGATGGTGTACTTACAAAGCTTTCTATATGTCCTGTCTAGAATATATCTTCAACACTAACTTCAAAATAAGGTGATTTCCATGAGTGAAACAAATGTCTTTCTCAATGAGTCTGATTAGGATTGGTTGCCGTCAGTGGTTTTCTTATCCTACTTCACACTTATGTATTGATCATTTCGTAGTGGTTAGTGTTAGGTGATCTAAGTATCTATCACTGGTGATAAGCCTGACTGTAATGAACTGGGTCATACAACAGACTGTGAATAGAGAGAAGATGGGCATGCGTTTGACTTCTGAGAAGAAACTGGAAGATCTGAAAATCGTGAGTGATTTATGTCTAATGTCCCACAAGCTCGACGATCTGCAGATGAAAACCAACAGAAGAAACATCGAATATAGGAATTCAAGCGAACACAGAGAAGACATAGGTGATGAAGATACCTAACCAACATAAACAAGCACCAATAACTACCCACGGAAGAAATTTGAGGGAATTCACTTCTTATCTATGCAGCGTCATTTCAACTTCAGGTGGCATGGATGAGGATGTCAGATGCAGGATTGGACAAGCAAAACAGATATTAATCTAATGAAATCATTGGGAGAATCTGTTTCAGCCAGCATAATGAGCAAGATTTGGATTTCGAACAGTAAAGCCAAGTCATTTCTATGTGGTTAAGAGCTTTGGTTAAGCACTTTGAACAAGCTGCAGACTCTGATCAACAGCTGTGGTCGCTAGCTGGAAATGGTTGTCAACAAGGAAATCTAGAAAATGGTGACAAATTGGAAACACGTCGAGGAGATCGTCGACTGAAATCTCATGCCATGATCCGAGGAGGAAATGAGAGCTCATGACAATCATGCAACCAGATAAAAGAGACTAATGAGATCAGGATAAAATGGACGACTATTTATACTCGTAAAAATAGGAATAATCTAACAGTTAAAATTCCCATGTTAGGAATGCTGTTTGTTTTTTTCCTAGAAATTTACCGCAAAGTGTCAGTACGACCACGTTTATTTCTGAATTTTTGTTTTGCATGTAAAATTGTAAGAGTTCCCCAGATGAATTATTTTTGTCTTGAGATAGAATTTTAGACAAAATATACATTAATAATTCATTGACATGTTGAATTTCCAATTTTGACCTTATTATCATCACTTTAAATAGGGATAACAGATACAAAACTTTTATTGTTTGAATTACTACGCTTTATGTTGCCCAAAACAAATTAATGAGCGTGAAACAAACACACTTAACTGTTTAGTGTGCGTGCGTGTGTTTTTGTATTAAATGACCTTCAACTCAATGAACTTCAAAACATTAGGATAGACGTATACCTCATAGACATTGTGTGTTTGTGTATATTTTGTGCACATTGGTGGGTTAATATCTCTTCTTATTTTAACCAAACAAAATTAACCTATATGTTCAACTATGATTAATGGACCAGTAAGCAATACACAAGTTTTTATTAAACTAAAAATTGTCCAGTAACGCCCAATCATAAAGAGCAAACAATAATAACAAATAATAATTTATAATAATAGCAAAAACTAAAGGAAAATATAGGAAAGAATAGTCAGAAAACAAAAGGGAACATATATATACAGTCATACGCACACCTTATGTATATATACGTTATATAATTATATCTACTACACATGGGAAACTATTTATTTAAATATGCCAAGGGGAATATTATTTATGTTGATGGAATATCCTAGAGATTACTTATCGGGATTATCTCTATAAATACTTTATTTCACAGACAGCGCGAAAAATTCAGAATATATCAAAAACCGAGAAATCGGTATTATCAAAAAAGGCGCTATGTAAAATTAAACGATGAATCACTAATTAAAACAAATAAATTAATATGTTCATGCATCCTAATGGATTTCTATTATATTCCTGTTACTTGATAAGCTCATATTTATTTACTATCCAGGAATACCTATTAAAATGACTGAGAATATTAATAATTTTATGAATATAAATCATACGAATTCATCAAGTGTTGAATTGTTGTCAGTGAATAAGTATGTTGAACTACCATTAATGGCATCCTATAGTAATGCATTTTTAGAAACTATTGCTGAAGAGACAAGTGAATTAGAAACTTCAGAAAATGGTACATTTAACAATATTAGTAACAACAACATTAATAGTAATGATATTTTCGATGTGGATAGATTGAGTTTTTGTACTGAGAATGATTTAAAAGCATGTGATGCGGATTTATCCAGTCAGTTTTGTATATTTAGAGGAGACAGTAATAATAATAATAATGATAATAATAATACTAATAATACTACTACTACTAATAATAATAGTCAGGCTCCTCTGAACACTTTTGAACATCAAAATGAATACTCGCCAAAGACATTTATACCTAATCTGAATACATTTTCTAAACCGAAACAGTTTGACTACTATTCAGATAATTCTGTGAAAGATCAAAGGTTGTTAACAGGTATGAAATCAACAAATCATCAGTTATGTGATTCATGGACATTAAATTTACCTGTCACCCTGGAGGATAAAAATATCTACTTCATGGATAATCGATCAGGCACTGGACAATTGAACTCAATAAATCCTATAGTAAATAAAAATAGTTTAATTAAAAATGTAAACAATATGCAGAGTAATATCAGTCAGCAGTCTATAGATTCTGTAAATACTGACACCTTCGTGGAATTATCTGAAGACTCCAAAGAAAATCATAAGAAGATTACTGAACGTGTGAAATCACACATAATGAATAAATCACAAAAAGAGCTTGGTCTGCCACTATGGAATGATGAAATACTTGATGAGGAACTATTGATCTTATCAAGTGATTATGATAAAAATCAGTTATGCTGGACGTTGACACCAAGTCGAACAATAATGACACCACTGTCACCGCCTGGGGAAAATGAAATGCTTACTCATGGAAATATTCATGGGTATCCAGTCGTAAGTGACACTGGCCACTCAAAGCCTATTTCATCAAATATTCCAGTAGACGAATATTCAGGTATTTTGTTGAAAAATAACTTTGTAGCTGAGAAAGCGATTCCACCTGCATATTCAGAGCATCCAGCTAGAAATATAACGTCAACATTTTTACCATTTAATTCTATACAGAATACAAGCAATACATTCCAAACATCTGTCGGGAATTCTGCAAAATCACAATGCTTCAGTCGGAATATTTATCCAGTGACAAGTTATAGTGAATCCAATTTTATGTTGTCATATAAACCGATAGGGGACGACTGTCAAATGTTTGCTGATAAGCACCATAAAATACAAGCGAATCAATGTGCAGAGACAATTCTCAGCCAAGCCAGGCCTCTTTCATTTGTACCACACATAATACCAACAAACTACAAAATTTCAGTTCACAAACCCGTATGCACAGACTGTATTCCACCGGCTTGTGATCAGTTAACAAAACCACCAATGTCGAACTATCAATCAATAAAATATTCACAGGATTTTCAAAACACTCACAAATACAATGAACATTTGGTCATTTTACATCCAAGTGTTAATGGAGGGTATCCTGCTACAAATATACTGAAATATCGACCAGAAGAGAAGTCATTCCAGAAAGGTTTAAATGATAATTCAAATACTTTAAATCAGACGCATCAACCAGTTGTATTAGACGTTTCCAATGGTGGTTCTCAGCTAAATGATCGTCTTTTAAACCAACCGAAACAAATGACAAGTATATCTACATTCAAACCGGTATCTAAAGACTTTTCATATACCTTATCAGCAGCTCACAATGATTTTAATTATTCATTTAGTATCATTCCTGAAAGCGTTTCTACAAAGTATTCTATAGAAGAAACAAATGTGCCTGTTACAAAATCCAGCTGTCTTCAATCAACTTTATCTTCATCGTTAAGTCAAGTAAAGAAGACCAAAGATTGCATAGCAGAGAGTTTCCCACAACTATTATTTGATGACAAACAAAAGACGAATGGTATTGTACCTAGTCAACCCATAACATATCATCATGTTAAAAGTCCTGATTTAAACACTGTTGGCTGTCCATCGGGTTTTCTGCATTCCCAATTCCAAAATCATCCTCTTTTCTCTGATAATTATGAATCAGTTGAATTTAAAAGACACCTATCAAGTGTTAAATCAATACCGTTCAGTGATATTACAAAGCCAGATATACTGCTTCACCAAAATCCAAAAATTAATAATGCAATAAGTAGTTATTCTGACGGGAAATATCGAGGAAAACAACCCACACCAGTTGATTCACGACAACAACAGCAGCAGATGCAACAAATACTACCACCACAAATGCAACAAGTTTATCCAAACAGTTATAAGACAGCGTTCAACTTTAAAAGTACTGATTTATTCCGTCCATTGCAGAGATCACCGGCTGTTGTCGGTGTCAGTGATTTATTGATTAAAACTGATGCAGAATTAAATAGTATATTGGAAAAGGTAAAACAGCCACCTCCAAATATTTCTGCTAGTAATAATAGCAGTCTAAAGTTAGAATCCCAAGATTTATTTAGACAGAAATGTAGCCTAGAGACAACTAGTCTAGACAAAACAACACCAAATGATGGATTGCATAGTTCTTCATATCAAGAGGATATATCACCAGCTCGTCGACGCTTTTTTCCACACTATTTAACGCGTGATATCAAGCTTAATTATTCATCAGGTCTGTCACGAAAAGACAGTGATGATATGGAAGATGAAGACGAGAAGAGAAGCTTCTATGATTATGGTTGTGACGATGAAGAAGATGAAGACAGACTTGAAGAAGAAGATGCGGACGAGGAGTATCCTCCTTGTGGTGAAGGTAATGTAAACACAGGGGATAAAATTTTCTGCACTCATACAAATATACATAGTGCAAGGAAATCTACTCATAGCAAAGATTATAACAGTAATAATGGTAGCATAATACAAAGGATTCGTGATTTAGAACTGCAGAATCGTTGGGAAGATGACTGTAAACATTCCATAAACAAATATGATTCTCAAGATCGACCCGACGATATTCACAAGGTAAATAGTCCCACAGCGGACAAAAGTTTCTCATCATTCAATGAAAACAAGAATAATAACAATTTGCTTAGCAGTTATGAATATGAGGATAATGATATGCCTTTTATAGACAGTGATTCTATAATGCTTGAATTTACACATTTAAAAGGTTTATTGCCTAGAATAGCTGATTTAGAAGAAATTACATTGAGTTCAAGTGAGTCTTTCGTTATCTTGTTTTCTAATAAATGTTTTTGACTTCTTGTTAATGTGGATATACATGATGTAACTATAGAAGAGTGTTTCATTTCATGAAAATATTGATGCGAATGTGTGTTGGTAATTCAGAGGTAGAACGCTAGCCAACCACGCATCTGGTCGGGGTTTGATTCCCGGCCGAAAGGCTCTTAAAACTCACGAAAGAACGTCAGTTAGATAATCACTGAAAAACAAGCAGCATTGAACGACTGCTCATTCGTAGCTTGTGCCTCTTCATCAGTACGGATCTATGATCTCCCTGGGAGTTGAACCCAGCACCCATTCACCCGATAATATCTGATTTCTTAGACACCAATAACACTTTTCGCTTATTCATTATGTGAGAATATAGTTGATCCGAAGAAAAGCAACCTCACAAACCATTACTTGTCAGAGCACCAGTGAAAAACTAAGAAGAAACTAAGAGTTATTTGGGTGCTTACTGAAGATCATGATAAAGTTTATTTGGGTAAATCAATTTAAAAGTGTGGACAATTACTGATCCTTCGACACTATGTAGAGATAACTCTACTTTAGGGATCAAGAACTAGTTAATATTCATAACCTACTTCTTCTGAATCAAAATGGGTGAAATTAAAAATTTCTGTAATACAACTCTACCGTTGAAGACTCGTAGGTACGTACAGTTTCACTAGGAAAAAATGGCTATTCAGAGGTTTCCAAGTTTCATTTGTTCCAAGTGTAGTGTTACAGTATAACTAAATCTTAAATGATATCCTTATTTCTTTGGATATTGTAGATGAGTATGCATGTACGTCTTTAGGAGACACCTTGATACTCCTATAAATTTGCCTTTATACCTTTCTAATGAATACCAAAACAGTGCAAAGGTGGATTTGAAGGTTAGCACTGAAAAGTCTATTAGCCTATTCCTTAAAATAAGAATGATTACAAATATTATCACGGACAAACTTCAGTTAGAGAACCACTGGAAACCATGGAGCAGTGGATAACTGTTTCTTTCTAGTTCGCGACTCTACAGAAGTACGGAAACACGATCCCAACAAGCGTCGAACTCAGGGGTTGAATGGTGAGCGAGCTTGTCCTGTAACCTTAAGGTTCTGAGTTCAGTCTCTGATTGTTGGTATCATAGGTGCGTACTACTAAACAGTCGCAAAGAGGGACGAAACAGTACCGTCGGAGGGTTTTCACTGGTTCTCTAACTTGAAATCAATCGAACCAACACTTATAAGGCCATAACACCGAGAGCTTTTAAACACATCTCTAGATAATTCAACAGCAGAGGTCATAATGCACTTCTATTATTTAAGTCAATAACAACTTTGTTTACCACTTTGTGGGTGCACTTTAACTTGTCTTTTATATATAAATATAGTGTTAAAAAAGAAGTACAAATTTAATAAGAGATGAACTTTTGCTGCTTTCGGAACCTAATAATTGCTTAACTGGTTGTGTATCGAATTACACTTAGACTAACCTTTAGCTTGCTACATTCTCACAATAAAATAACTGGAAGCGTGGAATTTAATTCCGTTTTTTCACTAAAACTCAGTCTCGGAGGATGTTAGTTTCTTAGAGTTTGGAGCATCTGAACTGTAGACAAATGGCGGTTTGTGTTTAACAGCATAGGTTCAATCACCATAAGATGTGTATGGGAGATAGACATTAGTTCAACTCTATTCCGAAAGAAACGTTGGAATTGTTTCACTTTTAACCTCACTGGGATTTACACAAGTATAATTTTCACATGTGTACTTTTTACTCAGCACCCAGTTTTCGTGGAACTGTTCAGTCGAATCCTAATCATAGTCGATGTAAAATAACCTATATGATTAGTAAATTTATTTGGTGATTTTATAATAAAGAAATAGGTGAGTATTCTATCAGCTGTCCAGTACTCCCAGGTATTCCAATGGTTCTCTAACTAATGTCAGCTCATGATGAAATCCTGTAACCAATCAACCAAATCCCTACAAATCAATACTTGAGTATGCTATCAGCCGTGCGTTGGTGGTTCAGTGGTAGTACGTCCACCACCCACAAACGTGGCCCGGGGTTTGGTCGCCGGACGACGTACTCCTGAACCTCACTAAGTTAGCAATAAAGCCGGTAAAGAAGGAAGGGCGCGCGCCAAAAATTCATAGCTCCAGCTTGAAGCCCGACAATCCACTCGGAACGTAAAGGAATAAAAAAATGTTACCAGTTAGGCTAGTTGTGAAATAATCGTAACCAAACAGCAACCAGCGCGGTTGTATTATTGAACTCGACATCGTGCACAGATATTTTATCTCACAGATAATAATTATTATGATTGATAAAACAGATTTCTTAATTCCATTAAAGTTTTTATTATAACTATAGGCGTTATTATTGATCTGGGAGATATCTCATTGATGTACTAGTGAATAGTCTCACAGTATAATTTATTTATCTTCTTTATTCTCTATCGATGTTATTTTCTTGACGAAACTGTCTTAAGTGTGATACATTGCTTCACCAATAAATCACTGGGCTATTGTGGTTTTTAAAAAGGTTTTATTGTTAGTAATTTGTGAATTAATTTCAAGTCAGATTACGAAATAATACCAATTAGAGAACCGCTGGATTACTGGATATCTGTTTCTTCCTAATTTGGAACTCTTCTTCTCAGTGACTGAATAGTCAGCCAACACGCTTGAAGGTTCTTGGTTCGACTTCCGGTAGTTACGGTAGTGGTTGCCTACTGATGAAAGGCTTCAGACAAAGATGAAACGGCTTCCTAGTACTCCAAGGTTTTCTATGATTTCTTAAATGGTTTTTGTTTGTGACAAATTCAGTCAAACTCCAGCGGACCAACCTACGTGAATTAAGTATATAAATGCTCCAAGAATTAGATCTGATGTACAAACTAGTAGATAATCAACTGACCATATTTCTGGAAATTTGACTCATCCATAAAAAATGCTGTGTGTAAGACTTAAACTTTAGCTATCATGTTGTCATTTTTCACGATGAAATACCTCATCACAGATTGAACAGAACAAACATCAATTGTTGGAAATTAACCAATGATCACTGTACAACTATATAGCTATAGTATAAATCACGTGGTCTTCTTGATATTATAGTGAGTTAAATGATGGAAATTTGTTGGAAACGGAGAAAACTTGAGAAATAAACTATTCTGCAATTCACGGTGTATAGTTGTGTGCTATGAAGTAGATCAAATGTTGTGATCTGAATAACTTTTCGAAAGGTAATTTTGGTGATTTCTGTCCTCAAAATGCACAATGTGAAAACTTCAAGTTTGATTCTGTTTATTACTAGTTCATCGAATTAACTAGCAAGAATTCGGGTGGTTTGAACTAGTGCAACCCTCTAATATGAGTTAATCTATCTACACCAAGGATAAGCTGCGTCTCAAACTAGTGAAACGGCTGCCTGGTATTTACATAACCTTGATATAGCTAGCAAGCACTATTGGTTGGTCAGTGCTTTCCAACTAATCAGATTAATCAGTGGTGAGCACCACCATGCTATGTCATATCTTATCTGGTTGTCGAACTAAATTTAAGCAGTTTACATTTGAACGAATCATAGATAACGGTTCATATGAAAGTATCTTTGTTAACATAACTAACTGAAGCATTAAATGATTCTGAGAAGGGAAATTAATCTCCATTTGACGATGTACATACAGCTAATTGGTCAATATTTAAAAATTGCTCAAACTTGGCTCAAATATTTCCTGTCGACTGCGTTCAATAAGATTGTCGTTGTTAGTGAAAACGTAAACTTTCATTTCTTTAAAATAAGCATAATGTACAGTGTATGTACTTGTTCAGTGATTACATTTCGATACATATTGTCTCATCTTTCCTAGTGCTAATAGTACTGGTAGTATATTAACAGTGTTCAGCTTAAATGCTAATCGTAGCTTATATCACAAAGATTTAGATTTCGTGTATTCGTCGTATGTGCATTTACTTGTACTATTCAAATGAATTTGATGGAAAAATATTCATAATGGCTATTTTGATACATAGTTCATAGGATCTAGCAGTAAAATCCAGGAGATGCCAAACCGCCAGCTGAAGGACTCTTTACGTGGATGAACCTGCATTCTCAGTGAGTACAGGTGTTCCTCCTGAAACTCAGCCAAATGTTAACCTTGAGGCATCGTTGAATCGTCTGTACTGGGTGTCTGTTATATCAAAAATAGTTACGAATAAATGAATAATCAAAAGATAAACCATTCTTCCCATATTAGATGAGTCTATTTGATATGACACACACAAAAACATTGATAAAATAATAATAATAATAAGTGATCGGCGTTTTGGGCGCTTTTTGACTGCTCACAAACATATCGCATTAACTGTTGAACCAATGAAACAGGCAGTGCTATTTCAAATTATTCGTTTGACAAAATTTCATGACTAAGATTTCTACACGTTGAAAGATTTCAGTTATTGCCTATTGATTTAATTTACTCGAACAAGAAACGCCCCAAAGTTTACTTATACATATATACATATATATATATATTACCTCATTTGATTGATTTAAAATATATTATTCCCAGTGTTTATTATTGACCAAATTAAGGACAAGTTCACAATATTTTGTTGAAATTTACAACACATGCTATAAGTTGATAATGTTAAGGCAACAATAACGTATTACTACAGCTTTTAGTGTTAGAACTCAGTTACTCGGAACAGCGTTTTCGTGTACCAGGGATATGAACCAGACAGTTATTCCATGAGGGCTGATGAAACCACATAATTGTCAATTTTGGAGTAGGCAGAGCCAGATTTAAACATGCGACCCAGTACCTGACATCCCACCAGTGAACCGTATCTCTACAACATTTATTGAGTTGGATTATAGAAATAAATTTGGCGGGAAAGGTAACTCAATCAGCAAATTTGTATTATTGTATGCAGTAATGAATAATGTTATAGAATACTAAATAATGCGCACCATATAGAAAGA